CGTATGGATCCATTTAAGGTTTTGAGCAGAAGAGTCACACAGTCTGACTTTGGTTTTGAAAAGCTACACAACTTGGCTGCCATTGAAAGTGGCCTTGTAGGTTCCAGAGCCAATGCAGATATTTAGAAAGGGCATTGCAGTGAAGCAGGAAGTAAAGGGTAGAGGCTAGGACAAGGGAGCTAGAAGAAGTGCTGACACATAGCCAGACTCTGGGTACACAGGTTCACCAAAGATAAAAAGCAATGCTAATTTTTCAACATATCTATTGTAAATCCAAAGAGGGAACTGAGTAAGCAACCAGTTATGTGCACCTCATGCACATGAGAGAGTTTCAAGTGAGAAGTAGATATGTGAGCATCTTCAGCTGGTAAACAGTATTTGAATCTGCAACATTGAATGAGTATGAATACAAATGGACTCTGGGAAGCATATAAAGATTAAACTGTGGGAACCTTGTGTTCAGACATTAAGAAGACCAGAATACACAAGGATGACCTCAGCAAAGACTCCTAGCAATAGTGGAGATGATGCCTGAACTGGCTGCCTCCTGTCATCAGATTGGTGACTACTCTAATTGTCATCACAGAGTCTTTATCCAGTACTGATGGAAGCAGATGCAGAGATCCACAGCCAAGCACTGAGAGTTAAGTTGAAGAGAGGAAGGAGGGACTATATGAGCAAGAGGGGGTCAAGATCATGGTAGGGAAACCCGCAAAGACAGCTGACCTGAGCTCTTAGGAGCTCTCAGACCCTAGACTGACAGCTTGGGAGCCTGCATGGAACCGACCTAAGCTCTCTATATAGTTATGTAGCTTGGTCCATTTGTGGCCCCTAGCAATGGGACAAGGATCTGTCCCTGGCACATGTGCTGGCTTTTTGGAACCTATTCCCTGTGGTGGGATGCCTTGTTCAGCTTTGATGCAGTAGGGAGGAACTTGGTCCTGCCTCAACTTGATATGCCATGCTTTGTTGACTCCCATGGGAGGCCTTAGCTGAGGAGCCGATGGAGCGGGGAGTATAATGGAGGTGGGAGGAGGGAACAGGAGGAGAGGAGGGAGGGGGAACTGTGGTTGGTACGTAAAATAAATTTTAAAAATTTAATTTAAAAAAAAATAAAGAAAAGAAGACCAGGATGCATCAGTCTATGGGACTGAGGCAGAACAGCCCCCAATATATGAAGAAACTGACCGAGGATGCTTTCTAGTGAAGAAAACCTCTTCAAAGTTGAAAGATACAGCCCCACGGGTCACAACGTTGAGGTGGAGCGATAGAAATGGGAGGTGAGAACTGACTTTGCTCTTTGGTCATGGAGAGGACACTGATGGTCTTTAAAAAGTGATTGAGTAAAAGAGATGAGAAGCCTGAATGGAATGGATCCAAAACGGGAGAGGAAATGGAGAGGACAGGTACAGACAACACAAGGAGACTTCCCCATGACTGAGGAAGAATGCAGGCGTCAGCACACATGAAATAGGGCCTGAATGTCTTCTGTCCACGGAAAGAAAGAGCTACCTACCTCTTTCTAACAAGGTGAGACGTTTTTAAACTGCTCATCTTGTCAGCCTACCCGGTTTTTGAATCTAAAGTCACAGTGTTCCTGTTCAATGTGACAAATTTGGTGGCAGGCTTGGATTTCAGCTCCAACCGATTTCCTAGACCATAATACAATTCTGCACCCAAAGTGCCTCAGGCCTCCACCCAATCAATAAATTGCAGCTAATGCCCTTAGGGAAAATGGTCTTTGATGAGACTCGGTGTTAGCAGCCAATCCAAGCCCATTAACTTCCACATCTGGAAATAAGGTGAGGATGGAAAAGGAGACTGATGCCTCCAATTTAGTTCTCATTTATCAGCATCACAATAACCTAGCTCAACTACATACAATTTGGGGTGATTGGATGAATTTGCCGAGTAGAGGTCCAAGACAGAAATAATAAGGAGGCTGAAGGTCAGGATCCAGAATTACTGGTGGAGTTATTTCAAAGTACTAGGTTGAGAGTCAGAGAGCAAGACTAAAGGGGCCCCAAATAAGATGCTCGGAGACTCTAATCCCAAAGACTGATCATAGCTGCGGTAACGCCGGATCATTCACAGCTTCTTAATAAATCATTTCAAAACAAACAGTGATCTCAGGGAACCCTACATTTCTATAACTTAATTCCTCTTTTACTCAAGTGCCCAAGCAAAAAAAAAAAAAAGAATTCTCTCCATTTCAGAGATAGGAAAATTGAGTTTGGAGAGAGAGTGAGGATTTTTCATGACAACTGGGGAAAAAGCACACTTCCCTTCAGTTAATGACACACTCCCCAAATGAGCCAAAGAACTGGCTGAGTTTACCAAATCTGGAAGTAATGGAGTGAAAAAAAGTTTTGTTAGCTATTACCAGAATGCCTCTGAAGGAGAAAATTATCTCTGGCTAAGAAAATAACTTAATAGGAAGTTCTGGTTTACCTAGGACAATCATATTTTTGCCTTATGGCCGAGAAATATTATTGACATTGTCCACTTTTGCTTTCAAGGATGTTCTAGTACTTACGATGTGATCAACCTATTGATTGTGTATGTGTGAGTGTATGTACATGATGCACACATTCATGCACATTCCTAACATCTGTGCTGCTACCTAAAAACCAACAAAGGAAGGAAGAAAGACCTACCCAAAAGCAAGAGTTCACAGGAAGTGAGGTAGCAGAGGGTTAGCTGAAATTCTCTGCTTGTGGCATAAACAGAAATGAGGGAGAGACAAAGGACAGACAGGGAGAAGAAAAATGAGTGGAATTAGAAGAAAGTAGGCAGATGGTGTGTAACCCTGTGTGAGATTCACGGCCACGTCTTCTTCCTGTAGCAGAGTGCCAAAGCCTTTAAAGAACATGGGTATCTAGGTATCAAATTACAAAAGGTTTTGTTCCGACCGTGTAAAACCCTTCTCTTGCCCGCCCTTCTCCCCACTTCCGTCAAGTACACTACATGTGTAAATGCTTTGCTTTAGACACTTTTAAACAAGGAAACAAAGGAAACCTGAGCTTCACAATTCATGCTGAGAGATCAGGAACAGAGAAGAAACACCAAGTAACACATATGGTAATCTATTTACACCAGAGGGGACCGTGAACACATGACCATATGACCCAGCCACAACCCGGAGAGATTCACAAAGAGCAGGCACACCCAGCTCACATGTGGACTGCATCACTATTGAGTGCAATAGGGGCTGGAAGTCTTAACGTTTTATTTGAACTTACACCTGCAAATCCACTTCTACATCAACGCATTAGTTGAGACTGTTTCTTCCACCAGGAGCTTGTTGATGGATTTCCTTTTTCACCTTTCATGTCTCAAACATATCTCCAATGCAGAGGAAAAAAACAAACAACCTAAATTGGGAAGTCTGCCAGAGTTACATTTTTTTAAAGTTTTTGCAGATACTCTGCCCATCTCTAATTTACAAGTTTTTAGCCACCTGTTAACCAAATCTTTCCAAGGAGGCTTTAGGCTGCTTTAATATCCCATCCATTTATATAATGCTTAACAAGTGTATGTAATTATGATAATCAATGCAGTTGACATTAACAGCGTGAGTTAAAGGCAATGGACTCTTGAGTAGAAAGGCCACCTGTGGGCAGGACGTACCATATGTACTCTCCACCCCAGACACTGCCCCATGTATAAACAGAGTACAAAAGAATCTCTGTAATTCTAGTGAGCTTGGCAAATAGAGACCAATTTTAAGAACTTCTGTTGCATTGATTTTGTTTTATTTTGTTTCCCATTGGGCTTTTAGGATCACTTTCCTGAGCATGGGAGCAACTTGCCAACCCATAGCATATTTTGACTGTGGCTGTGTCTTGTACCATCCAGAAGCATCTTATTGTCAAAGTGCAGACACTTCCCCGGATCTCCTCCATTCAGCCCAACATAGATAGGACCCAAAGGCTAGAAAACATGCTCCCCTCCTGGGGGAAAAAACCCACCCTCATTTCTACCTGAAACCATACTGTAGGATTGGCTTTGATCCACACAGACTGAAACTTCGCTCAAGCCCCAGAGAACGAGGCTAAGCTAGGCCAGATAACAGAGTTCCAGGAGTTCCTCGACAAGACACGGTAACATTTAATGGTAATGACTTAACGTATGTATTCAGTGTAAATTAGGACTCTCTTCTTCGGCTGGAAAGGGCAGGGAGCTAAATCTAAGCAGCAGTCAGAGAAAGCAAATTTTCTCCTAATCAGAAAAGCACAATCATGGTGACTCGGAGCTACCGGTGTAATTAGGCTCTTTTTTCCTTTTCCTCCAACAGGCAAGAAAGGAGAGGTGGGCATCTCAGGAAAGGCCACTTAAAACTTCTAGAAGAGGACATCATTTAGGTAATTGAGGACAGGTTAAGCCTGATAATTTTCTTGGTAAAGAAGGACCGAGAATAACAGCAGCCCACTAATGTGTGTGGATTGAAAGGAACTTCTAAGTGATAGCATCACTTATTCAAATACACGTGTGTACATATACATACATACATACGCATATTGTATATATGGTGTGTGTATGAGCATGTATGTGTGCATACACATGATAAAGCCGGAAGTCAACGCCTCTGTCTTTCTTAACCCCTCTCTAAACCTGGAGCTCATCCTCATTGATTTGGCTAGGCTGGTTGGTCTGTGAGATGCAGAGTCCTCCTGCCTCGACCTCCCCAGCGCTGGGATACAAGTATGCACTGCTGTGCACAGTTTTTTACATGGATGCTGGGAATCTGAACCTGAATCTTCAAGCTGACTGAGCCATGGCTCTGAAAAATGCAGGTTTTTTCTAATGGAGAAGCATTAGTCAGTATAAAAGGTGGATTAGCAAGAGCTCTAGCTGTATTTAGATTTCCTATTTCCTTAAATTTTACTGATTATATGTGTTGTCAAGTATCATGTTTAATTAATAACACATGGTAAGGGATTTTGTCCAAAAGGTGGTCATTTTTCTAAAAAGGGGTAACCTTGAGTAAAAGAAAGGTGCTCTTGTCTCTGGGACTCACTTAACCTTGCCTGTGGGTCATCTTGCACTCGACACCTGAGGCCACTTAACTAATCGGAAGTTCCAGGCAGAAAGATGAGTAAAAGTCATCACATACCAGCATCCAGCAGAAGGCCGGGGATGCGCAAAATGACTCGAACAGCTGGATGTTTTGTTTGTTTTTTTATTTTAAAAATGTAAAAAGCGGCAGAGAAATTAAATGGGAGTTGCTGTTTGGGGGCTGTGGGAATCGAGGCACAAATTGTTTCACCTGCTGCCTGCTCGGCTAGAGAAGGCTGACGTGGCTTTCAGAGGAATGTTTCTGTTTTCAAGTTGAGAGGCAGACATTAGTGGAGTCCACACTTCTTCCTTTTCTCTTGTTCTCTCCCAGATCAAATTCAGAACCAGGAGACTCACGCTGAGGCCTCTGCAGGAAACCATCCACAGTAGCTGCTAATGGGAAGCCTAATGACACTTAAATGGGACTGGGAGAGCTAAGAGAGCGGCGCAGATAATATTTATAATAGAAGAGGAAAAAAATAACTGCACTAAGCCAAAACAAGAAGAGGCCCAAGCTGGGAACTGGTAGAAACTCAATAAAGCAAAAGCTGCGGTCTCCCTAAAGAGCGGACACTCACCATAGCCCTACCTACAACTTCTCACCTCACCTGCACCAATGGGGAAGGCTGGGGAAGTGATGAGGCAGCAGCCCACACCTGTGTGGAGTAAGAAGCAGTGGACCCGAGCCAGCTTCCCTTCATTTGCATTTACAACACCCCTTCAACCTACAGGGAACCCACCATGGCTGAGAATTCAAGACCTGGGCTAAATCTACCTGAAACAAAATACACTTTCAGTCACTTTGAAATAGTTAACAATAACAAAAGAACATGCCTGTAGATATTTTTCAAGCCCTTTGTATATCACCTGAGTTTTCCAAACTGATGCAAATGTGTCTTTCATGACTGAATCTTCCATCCATCTTGATAGTATCAGCATACCTGAAATTCTGGAACAATGGATCCGTCTCACAATGTAACCCCTAGACCACTGGTATCAACTGGGAACATGTCAGAAATACAAATTCTTGATCCCCTTCTTAAGCCACTTAACTCAGGGCATCATGGCAGTGGAGCCCCGGCTCTGTGTTTTTACAAGCTCTCCCGGTGATTCCGACTCACAGCTCAAGTTTAAAAACCACTGGCCTATAACATTGTTTCTCAAACTTGGCTGCACACTAGAATCACCTACAGAGCTTTACAAAACAATGTGGAGGCTGCTTCAGACCCCTCCCCGCTAGAAATTTCAATTGATATCAGCTGCACCCTGGATGTTTGATTTATTTTAAAGCCGCACTCTCCCCCACAACTCCCCACCCCCGGTGATTCTCATGTGCAAGAAAGTGTGGAAATCACTAGAACATACCTGAAATATGGAAGTGAGAAGGCCAACCTTTTACAACAAAATGCACCCAGTGAAGCATTAGCTACTTTGGTTATCGCTCTGGAGATGCCCCCGGCAGAGGAACTTGGCGAGGAAAAACAAACGTGCTGGCTCATAATTTCAGAAGGATTTCAGTTCATCACCGTGGGGAGGGCAAGGGGGTGTGCACATGTGGTAAAGAGCCTCACATTGGGCCTGGAACAAGAAGCAGAACACAGAGGTCGGAACCAGAGGCCCACCTTTTATGACTTAGTTTCACCAGGTAGGTCCCACATCACAAAGGTTTCACAGTTGCTAAGACTGCACCAGCAGCTGGAGGGGCGGGTATTAAATCACACATGCCAAATGGGGACCATTTCACATAAAACCCTATCAGGACTCAACAGATATTCAAAGTCAGCATTTATAAATGCTAACTGGTCGATACCGACAGACTCATCAGTGTTTTGCCTTAATCCTATTTCAATGAGAGAGATAATTACTTGCCCCCCCCATCTTGATTTATTTAAACGCTTATTTGAGATTTCCTGTTTTGTCCTGACTTTGAGGCAACTCAAACCACAGTTGTCTTTAAGAATTTTATCTTCCCTCTTTAAAGTACCTGATTCTTGCCATATACATATATATATATACATATATATATGTTACCTATTAAAAATATTATGCCCATGCTTCCCACACTGAAGTACAGAGTCATCCATAAGCTATGCAGCAATGTGTTATGGGACCCAGGAAGCCATCAGTCACAGGCAATGCACATGTCTGGAATCCCAAGTTATTTAAAGACAGGAAATCTAAGATATTCTAATAGTTTGATACCTATCAATATGTTAGAAATTAGAAGGCAAAATATGATTATCCCAAATGCGAATAGTAGCACAGACCTGTAATTCCGGCTGCTCTGGGGGCTGAGGCAGGGGGAATGCAACGTCAAAGCCTGACTGACTAAATAAATAAATGAATAACCAAACAAACAAATAAGAAATACTCACCCTCTCAAGTCTTCCCAAGAACGTTGCCCACCTCCTTTCCCTGCCCTGAGCACCTCACTAGGCTCTGGTGCATACGGACAATGCAAATACCCTCAGCACTACACAGTATATGTGAACCTCACAGAAAGCAGCTTGTTCTAGCTTTAGCAAAAGACAATATAGAAAACAACAGATGACGGAAGAAGGCACTACCACCTGGGGTCTTGATCAGGTTCATTTTCTCCGCTAGTGAAGCGGGGGTGGGGGGGGTGCGGGGGGGGGTGGTCTGGAGTGCAGCAGGTGGTAATGGGAGAAATCTTGGACACAGCACACAGAATCAACTGGTTTTAAAATAAAAGGCATTTATTGGGGCAAAGACACACACACACAGCACATGCTAAGCACACACAGAGAGAGAGAGACCCTCTGAAGAGCAGAGGTGACTGAGGGAGCCACAACCCAATCTCTACTTGAGGACTGGGGGGTCTAAAGGCCAATTGAGTGGACTTCATCCCTCAACTTAGGGTTGGTCAGTTTGAACAAAGACAGGAAATGACGCATCCACCATTGGGGGGGTAAACAAGTCCTGGTCTGGCCTTGAACTTGCAAAGCAGACTGGTCCACAAGCAAGGGGACCTTCTGACAGAAGAAAAAGCCTGCCAGGCTTTTGTTTTAAACTGCCAGCCTTTGTCTCCTGTTGGGGAGCTGAGGAAGAAGCCAGCCATCTCTGTAACCATCCTTTTGATCTAGTCATGGCCCCTCTGCCCATCTGTCTGTCTGCCAGGGAATCTGTCTAACTCCTAGTCCTTCAAAGGCATTTCCCCTTGAGGTTTCCCTGTGCAGGGAGTAGAGAGTTCACGAAGTTCTAACTCATCTTCTGCCACGAAGGTGGTATTGATCGTGGTGCCAAAACAGTAGCGCTGTTATGAACCGGGTGTTTCCACTGTCTCTCTTCTCTCCGGTTTGTATGTTGAAATTCTAACCTCCGGTGAGAGAGGGAAGGTAAGCCCCAGTATCCCCTTCAACCTCTGTCTGATCTTTGAATTTCTTCAGAAGCCAATGGTAAATGAAGGAAAGGGGGCTACGCCCCGGTTGGTTGGACTGACGCACAAGCCCCCACTGGTAGACGCCCCCTACCGGTTCAGCTGAACATTGACTTTGGCCCTCGTTCAGGAGCAGGTAGTCACGGTTGGGGCCGGCTGGGACTTAGCCGATCCCAGGAAGGCGCTGAAAAGAGATAAACTGTGGAACTTCTGATTCACAACAGAAAACTGTAAAACCCTACAAGGCAAAAAGCTTGAAAGAGAAATAAGGTTTACCTCCCCTCTTTCAGAAGAAAAAGGAAATCAGAAAACAGAGACTACAGAGTGAATGACAAAAGTCCACATCAAGATTGCAACCTCGAGGAGATATTGTGGGCATTATGTGTGTGGAGCGGTGGTGTCAAACTCGCACGTGTGTAACACCCCAAGGATTTATTGTTCAGTCTTTTCACTGAATTCTAAATGAAAAAGGAACTCTGTTCTTCAGAGCTTTTACAAAAAAAAAAAAAGTGATAATAAATTTCCCCATAGAGTTGAGCCTGTCTCCCATCTTTTCTTTCTTCCTAACCGAGTCTGAGCTTGAGGGATTGGGAATGCTTCTCATCTAGTTTTGCCTTGGGCGCTGGCACACGACATTTCTGCTCTGTCCCAAGCTAAGTACAGGTGGCAACCTGGAGAAGTCCCAGGGTCCCTTCAGTTTGTCAAAATTTTGAAGAATGGTAAATCTTTCTTCCCTATTAGAAAATAAAAATAAAGTATCTGTGTGACTCCCAGCTAGCCTGAGTCTTCGGGGGTTCTAAGCAACCAAAGAAGCATCTTTCTTTCCCAGAAGCTGGGGAGGGGAGCCCACAGCCTTGTGTGAGCTGTGTGTGGAGCCTCAGCATGTTCACATCCAGGAGAAACTTAGCAACCACCAGTTCAAGCTCTGTTCTGAGAGGAGGAAGGGAGACATGAGAAGGGAAGATGAACTCTTACTACACAGCCAGGGAGACCAGAATCCCAGTAGCTGGAACACAGAGGCTCCTGTTTAACCTGTTTTTCTGCCCATGGATTCAGCTACCCGCGGTCAACAATGGCTGCCAGCAGAGCTCCAGTAGGTCTCTGCTTCCCTGGCAAGCCACAGAGGCAGCACACAGCAGCAGGAAGAGAGAGGACAGCCAAGATCTCACAGGGGGGCTCCTGAGGATTAGCTGGCCAGGGTAGTCTTGTCTAGATGTCTTGTGGCCTGCTGGTCTTAGACAGGCACGAGTCCCATTGCCAGGCAAGTGTGTACATGTGCTCTGGCATGCAGGAAAATAGAGAGCTTGCTAGAGTCTGAAAAATAGATCCTAACAACTTCTATGTCCTTATCTGTAAAATGTGTTAATCACCTCGATCCTGTAGAACTGATGTGAGGCATGGGATTTAGTGTGAAGAATATGAAAAAAAAAAAGCACATTGAGTCGGCTGGGGATGCTACCACAGAGTACTAGACTGGGTGCCTTATAAGCTACAATAATGTATTTCATCCAGCCCTGGGGTCTGCGGCATCTGAGAATGGAGTGCTAGCATGCCAGGCCCAGCTGAGGACCCCCTTCCTGGCACAGGCTTCAGATTCTCCATGGAGCTTCACTGGAAAGAACGAAGGCAGGGAAGAGCTCTCTAGGACACATTTCATAAAACCCACAATCCCACACATCAGGGCTCCCCCCACACAGTCCACTTGACTCCCAAAGGCCCCGCCTCCTATTACCACATCACTGGAGGTTAGTATTTCAACACACAAACCAGGAAGAAGGGGCATGGTGGAAGGATCCAGTCCACAACTGCGCTACTGTTCTATCACCGTAATCAGTACCACCTTGGAGGCAGACTATGAGTAAGAAGAGTGCCTGATCTAAAGTCCTAAAGATGGAGGAAGGATATGTTTTGAAACATGAACAGGATCCAGAAGCAGAGCTGGGTTTCTACAACAGCTGGCTGGCCTTAGGCAAGTCATCTATGATCTCTGAGCCTCAGACTCATAGACACATGCTAGGAAATGAATAAATTGTAGCACTGTAAACAATGGTAGCAAATATGTTCATGAAAACCCTCTCTGAAAACCAGTCAACCTCAAGGCCAGGACAAAAAGATTTCTTCTATGAGTTCACTCTCCTCCCTGTCTCAAATAGACTCCCAGATGGGCTTACCTGGACCCTCCCTCATCCCCCGCATCCCCCACATACACCCTCACCTGTCCCCACAGACACCTCACCTGCCAAATTCTCCCACACCTACTTCTTACTGTCCAGTCATAGAAGGCCAGACTCCACTCACAAACCAAGACGATAGAAACAACTAGGAAAAAAGTACAAAAGCAAGAGAGATTCTGTTAAAACTGTCAGTCAGGGGTCAGTGTGATACTCAGGTGGGAAAGGTACTTGCTGCCAAGCCTGACATCCTGAGTTTGATCCCCAAGACCCACATGGTGGAAGGAGAGAATCAGGTGTTGCCGGCTGTCCTCTGCCTTCTACACATACATGGTGCCACATAGGTACCTACATATACACACACATACAAAATTAAATAATAAAATAACAAATGTAATGTAACTTAAAAGAAACATCAGTTTAAAGTTAACTAGTAAACCTGAAAATCAAATATTCACAATGCATGATTTGGGAAATTTATTCATAATAATTTTAAATAATAGCTCTTATTTGGCTTCATTATTTATATAAGAAATTGAACCTTCTAGTAAGCCAAAATAACAAAGCTAAAAAACAAAGCAAAAGATAGAAGTGACAGAAACCACCATTCTCGTTCTGGATCAAAAATATTAAACAAAGAAAAAATACTCATTATTCTGTCAGCTCTAAAACATTTTCAGCTTGTTCAAATGGGAACAAGTCCCCCTGTGGTCTTGTAAAACTCACTGAATTGGAGTAAAGTAGTGTGTACGGCAGCCTCCTCTTCAAAGCTGCCGTGGAAAAGACACATATTAACAAGCAGAGGCGTTTCCAGTCTCTCATTCCTGCTCTGATTCTCAGCTCTGTTCTAAGCACCGAGCACATCTGAGCTGAGGAATTTCAAAGAGTTTGCACCATCCCTTCACCTCCTGTCACCTCCCAACCTTGAGGCCTCCACTGTGCCAGGGGAGCCCTCCTGGGCACCTGCGGGAGGCACCGAACTCTGTAAGTCAGTACAGTTGACATAAGTACTTACATCTCTTTTCTCTCATACAGAACCTGGTAACTGATGCCCTGCTTAGAACTGCTTGTATCTGAAAGAGCAAATAAGCCCGAAAGGCATGTTTGTGAGCCTATGTCTCAGTGTCCCGCTTTGTAAATCCCTAGAGAATAACCAATTAGAACAGGGACAAACAGAGTCTCCTACCTAGAGTAAGTAAGCTTCAACACACGTGGGTTCAAGCTTGATGTCGTATGTGCATTTTCAAAATTGTGATTCTGGAGATGCAGCTAGTCATCTCCATCTGGCAGGGCACTGGTGGATGCTCTAGGTAAGAGTCAGGATTCTA